TTTTGTTTATGTTTGTTTATATCCCCTTTTTCTCCCCATAAGGAGATTCAAAGTGGCTAACATTTAAAGGACAGAAGACATTATGAGAGCCATATATAAAGAGGTGAGAGGAAGTCATAGGGATGAGGGAGCAAATTTGTTTTCTGCTGCCCTGGAGACTCAGATGCAATGGAACAATGGCTTCAAACTCCAAGAAAGGAGATTCCATCTGAACATGAGGAAGAACTTCCTGACTGTGAGAGCTGTTCAGCAGTGGAACCCTCTGCCCCAGAGTGTGGTGGAGGCTCCTTCTTTGGACGCTTTTAAACAGAGGCTGGATGGGGGCGCTTTGAATGCAATATTCCTGCTTCTTGGCAGAATGGGGTTGGACTGGATGGCCCACCAAGTAGATCTCTTCCAACTCTATGATTCTATGATTAAATATTTTTTATGCTGATTGAACAATGCTGGGTCGGTTGGCAATGCACCCACCTCCATGGATATATCTGCAGCATGGCCCATTGTGAATCAGCTACAAGTTTCAGTTTGGATGCCATAAAGGGGCTCTGTAACATGCTGGATCCCTTCCCAGCACCCTGGACAGCACTCTCCAAGCAAAAGCCTGGCATTCACCACAATTGTCTCACTCTCTGCTTTAATCAGACCTCACCAGGAGTCATACTGTGTCGTGTCCTGGGCACCACAATTCAAGAAGGAGATTGATGAGCTCGAATATGGTCCATGGGAGAGCAACTAAAATTGCCAAAGGACTGGAAACTATAAATCCCTCTGAGGAGTACATTTGGCTTTGAGAAGAGGAGGTTAAGAGAGGACATGAGAGCTGTTTTAAAGTGTTTGAAAGGAAGTCACAATGAGGAAGGGGCAATCTTGTGGGGTTCCTCAGGGGGCCATTCTCTCCCCTCTCTTGTTTAACATCTATATGCGACCACTTGCTCAGTTGGTTCAAGGTTTTGGGCTTGAGTGTTACCAGTACGCTGATGACACTCAGCTGGTGCTGAGGATGGAGGGCCGACCGGACTCTGTACCCAATTATTTCCATCAGTGCCTCAAGACCGTTACTGGATGGTTGCATGCCAGCAGGTTGAGGGTGAATCCAGCAAAGACGGAGATCCTATGGCTGGGTCAACCGGGCAGTGGGGATATCCAGCTGCCTATCCTGGATGGCGAGGCGCTATGCCCATCATCATTGGTAAAGAGTCTGGGAGTCCTTTTGGACCCTCTGCTGACGATGGAGGCCCAGGTCTCCGCCGTTAGCAGAACCGCCTTTTTTCACCTGCGGCAGGCTAGACGGCTGGCCCCCTCCCTGTCCAGGGACGACCTAGCTACGGTGATCCAGGCCACGGTCATCTCAAGACTGGACTACTGTAACGCCCTCTACATTGGCCTTCCTCTGTCGGTGATCCGGAAGCTCAAGTTGGTACAAAATGCAGCTGCTCGGCTTCTTGTGGGAATTCCAATGAGATGCCACATCACCCCAATCTTACTACAGCTGCATTGGTTACCCATTGAGCACCGGATCACTTTCAGAGGGATGGTACTCACCTTTAAGGCCTTGCATGGTCTGGGGCCGATGTACCTGAGGGACCGCCTCACCCCCTCCCAACCCCAGAGATCCCTCTGTTCTGAGGACCAAGATCTATTGGAAATTCCCAGTGTCAAGACCTTGCGTCTAACAGCAACCAGACGCAGAGCCTTCACAGCAGTGGCACCATCACTCTGGAATACTCTGCCACCTGAAGTCCGTGCCTTGCGGGACTTACCAGCTTTCCGCAGGGCATGTAAGACATACCTGTTTCGACAGGTCTTTGATCTTTGATATTGTTGTTTTTAAATTGTTTTTAAATTGTGTTCGATTTTAGCCTGTTCCTGTAAGCTGCTCCGAGCCCCAGGGGAGTGGCGGCATATAAGTTCGAATAATAAATAAATAAATAAATAAATAAATAAATGATGAAGTCATAGTTTGGCGACTAAGACACGGAGGCATGGTGATGGGACTCAGCCTGTGTGTGAACCTGAGCTTGAATCTCTGATTGTATTGCCTAATGCTGATGTCAATGTTGATGCTAATGTTGATGTTAATGTTGTTGGGCCTAGTTTGGATAGTGAGGCTGAAGTGATCAATGAGGACGAGGCTCAAGATGGAGACACTTTGGGCATTAAAAATCCTATAAGCTTTGATTTAGAGGTTTCAAGGGAAAAGCCAAGTTCTCATGAGAAAGTTTCTGTCAGACCGAGAGAAGAAAATTCACTCCCTTTTCCTCCTGGCCTGAGCTTGCAAGATAACTTGACACCTGGTCGGGTCAATGATAATAGCCGCAGTTTGGAGATAAGCCAGAACCGCAGGGAGGCTCAATGTTTACGTAGGTCCGAGAGAATCCGACAACTGAAACCAAAGATTAGAGTTAGCTGGAATCAGTTTTTTGCGATTTAAGAGTGCCCGTGAGGGGGATTTCTTCAGACCAAGCATCGTTTAGTATCAAGTACAAACCTCCTGGGCTTTCCAGTTTCCAGTGGTCTGGTCTCTAAGGGAATTTCAGGCTTCAAGTGAGAATTAGCTGGGGCTAATCCGTTCATGGATTTCTATTGAGAGTTGTTTGGACTTTACTGTTTTGGATTTTCTGCAAACATTGCTGTTTGCTGTTTCATTTTGGCTTTTTTACCTTATTCAATAAAAAGGGTTGTATTTTTCCTAAACCCAAGTGTGGTGTATTAATGACAAGAGGGCCCTGTTTCCAGCTCTGGTGTGCAACACATGGATTCAAACTCCAGGAAAAGAGATTCCCCTTAAACATTAAAGAAAACTTCCCAATAGTGCGAGCTATTTGATGGTGGAATAGGCTGTCTGGGAGTTCAGTGGTTTTGAAGCTGGATGGCCATCTGTAGGAAGGCTCGGTGTGTATCTTGCTGGAAGGTAGAAGGGAGGTGAACTGGATGACATTGGTGTCCCTAATGTTAGAGCATGTAAAAAATTAGTGGAATAGTGTGTTAACTGAAAAATGCAAAGTAGAAAGCTGATTGGTTGGGCTATACCCCAGAAGCTAGCTGAGCCTGGGAGTTTTGGCAACAGTTACATATTTAGGTTTTAGCTGTGGAGGAGCTTACAGAGAGAGATAGTTCTTGCTCCATGAACTGATGGAAGAAGATCTTCCACATGTACACCTAAATACCATCTGAATCTCTCCCAAAGAACATTGTTTGAGTCAGTGCAACTGTTTTCATGACTGTATATTCACTTGTGATGAAGTGTGAACTTTAACCTACAGTTATGTATAATTATAGATAGGTGTTTAAAAGGGTAAGTACTTAAAATAGCATAACTGGAAAAAGAGGCAGAGCTAACTGGCAGGGCAGGCATTTTAAAAACGGTCAGTCTGTCGTCTGAGAACTGCAGGAAAGGCTGGTTCTACAGTGTTGAGAATCAGGGAAGCAGTCTGTAGTTAGAGAACTACAGGGAAAAGCTGGTTCTACTGTGTTGAGAACCAGGAAGGTTTAGGCTTTTAGCCTGTGTGGTTTAGATAGGTCAAGTTGACTTATTTAGATTAGTAGTTAGTGTATGAGCAAAAAGGGGGAGAGAACCTCAGTAAGCATCTTTACTGCAACAGAAATAACATAGGGAAAGAATAAGCTGGTAGCTGAAGTGAACTGTTAAAGAAAGAAACTCAGTTTGAAGAAAAATAAGTTTAAAACCTATTTAGTGGAAGGAACAGTCCTCTCAAGAGTTGTTTTATGAAATGTTATAAATGTAACCTCTAAAGAAATGTGCCTCTAGGAGTTAAGAAACATTGAAATCATTAAGCTTCTTCTATACTTCAATAAACTTGTTACAGTTTCTCTTAAAGCCAAGTCTCTGTTATGAATACTTTCAACTCAAGCCACGCTACACATTAAAGAAAGACCAACAAAGTATTACAAGCTATTAGATGTGTTATCAATTTTATAAATCCATTACAAATAGTAGGAGACCCTGATAAATCAGTGATGGCCCTACTGCTTCTGGTGTCGTCTTTACGAAGTGGTAGTGTCTGTTACAATCCAGAGCAGGAAACGAGGCCCTAAGATAACTATCCACCACACTTGACTGTGAAAAAACAATCCTTTTTTATTGAAGAAAAATGATTACAAAATAAAGGAAAAATGCAAAGTCAAAAGCCACAGCAAAATCAGCAAACATGAATGTCCATGAACAAGATCAAAACCCAAAGCCACACTGTAAAATACTGGAACCTGTTAGCAATCCACTAACCGTACTTGGTGTCCTAGAAATCTTTCAAGACGGTGGCCAGGGAAACCGGGAGAACTGCCAAGGTCTTCATCAATCTAAAACGATGCCTGAACTGAGAAAGTCAGCCCGGCAGAAGGCACTTAAAGCCGAGGAATTGGTTTCGTGAAACGCCTCCCTGCTTTGAAGCCGTTGTTTGTATTTCTTTTAATCTGGAAGACCTTCGCAAGCTGAGTGATTTACTTCTGTCTTGCCAGATCTGGCCCCTTCTATTCTCATTAAGGTTCCCAAGTGCAGATAGGAGTGAAAGGTCATTGCTTCCCTCTGAAACATTCTCATGAACACTGGTACTTTCATTTTCCAAATCTACAGAAGTTGCTTCCTCACTAATTTCAGGAGCATTGATCATCAAGAAGTACATTTTCATTAGCATCAGTAAATATATTTTCATTAGCATCAGGAGGTACAAACAGAGAATCAGGTTCAAACTCAGGCTGAACCCCAACAGTGTCATTACAAATTGGTGGCATCATTGCACGTTGCTCTGCATTAGAAAGAGGAAACTCCTTGTTCTTTACTGATCATTTGCATGGTATATTTTCTTTCTCTGGCAAGACAGTGTGTGGACTGATGAAAACATGAACTACATGTGATTTTCATTTCACCACATCTAGCAACTCTAGGGTTGGGTTGTTGTGCCGAGAACTCTTGGGTTCTCTGATTCCAGGCGTGACTTCCTGTCTTCCGTCCTTAACATCCTGTCTTCCATCTCTCTTTGCAGACTCTTCTCCAGAGGCTCAACCCAAATATATCAAAGGAGGGAAACGTTATGGAAGGCGGTCCTTACCGGAGTTTCAGAAGTCCGTGGAGGAGTTTGCAGAGGTGACCGTCATCAAACCCCTGGATGAGGAAGGCCAGCCGTCCCACATCCCCAACGATGACTGTGATGAGGTAAGGATTTAATCGCACCCAGGATAGATTTGACAAAAAGGAGGAAGGTGTGCAACATGGCTGAATGTTTCCCCTTATTGTCAATCATGTTTGAATGTATCTTATTATCATTGTGCATTTGTCATCACGGAGCCTTCTTGACACTAGAGACATATTTGAACTCATGCCTCTTGTTTTATGGGGTTAACAACTTATATTTATATATAGATATATACACACACACACACACACACACACACATCACTTTTTTCCTGCCCATTTCAGCCCGAAGGCGACTCAGGGTGGCGTACAAATCGGCAACAATTAGATGCCGTATATAATACATACGTCAGTTAAAAGCAAAAAAAATACATCATAAAATATTTTAAAACCATAGAAGCAATAAAAACAATCTCTATAAATAAAAATGTAATGTTCGTTTGTGGGGTTAACAGAACTCAAAAACCACTGGGGGAATTGACACCAAATTTGGACACAAGGCACCTAACAACCCAATGTATGTCCTTCACTCAAAAAAATTGATTTTGTCATTTGGGAGTTGTAGTTGCTGGGATTTATAGTTCACCTACAATGAAAGAACATTCTGAACCCCACCAATGATGGAACTATAAATCACAGCAACGACAACTCCCAAATGTCAAGGTCTGTTTTCCCCATAGTCTACTAGTGTTCACATTTGGGCATATTGAGTATTGAGTGCCAAGTTTGGTCCAAATCCATCATTGTTTGAGTCCACAGTGCTCTCTGGATGTAGGTGAACTACAACTCCAAAACTCAAGGTCAATGCCCACCAAACCCTTCCAGTATTTTCTGTTGGTCATGGGAGTTCTGTGTGCCAAGTTTGGTCCAATTCCATCATTGGTAGAGTTCAGAATGCTCTTTGATTGTAGGTGAACTATAAATCCAAGCAACTACAACTCCCAAATGACAAAATCAATCCCCACCCCCACCCCACCAGTATTCAAATTTGGGTGCATTAAGTATTTGTGCCAAATTTGGTCAAGTGAATGAAAATTTATCCTGCATATCAGATATTTACTTGTAGCAAAATTACAGCGATGAAGTAGCAACGAAAACAATGTTATGGTTGGGGGTCACCACAACGTGAGGAACTGTTTTAAGGGGTCGCGGCATTAGGAAGATTGAGAAACACTGCCCTTAGGGGGAGAAAAGTGGTATATAAATGTAGAGAAGAAGAAGAAGAGGAAGAAGAAGAAGAGAGAGGAAGGAGGAGGAGGAGGAGAAGGAGGAGAAGCTGCTGCTGCTGCTTTGGGACAGGATGGCCATCTGTCAGGGGTGCTTTGAATGTGGTTTTCCTGCTTCTTGGCAGAATGGGGTTAAACTGGATGGCCCACCAGGTCTCTTCCAACTCTAGGATTCTATCAGTCCCCATGGGGAGAAAGGCAGGGTATAAATAAATATGATGATGATGATGATGATGATGATGATGGAGTTAGAAATGTAAATGCAGGGTATAAATAAAGATGATGATGATGATGATGATGATGGAGTTAGAAATGTAAATGCAGGGTATAAATAAATATGATGATGATTTTTTTTTTGTCGTGTCAGGATCGACTTGAGAAATTGCAAGTCGCTTCTGGTGTGAGAGAATTGGCCATCTGCAATTATGTTGCCCAGGGGGCGCCCGGATGATTTGTCTTTATCATCCTTGTGGGAGGCTTCTCTCATGTCCCCGCATGAGGAGCTGGAGCTGATAGAGGGAGCTCATCCACCTCTCCCCAGATTCGAACCTGTGACCTGTCCTGCTGGCACCAGGGGCTCCATGATGATGATGATCATGATGATGATGATGGAGTTAGAAATGTAAAGGCAGGGTATAAATAAATAAATATGATGGGGATTATGATGAGAGACTTTGAAAACTTTGGAGAGAAAGGCAGGGTATAAATGATGATGGTGATGATGATAGAGTTAGAGATGTTTGGAGAGTCAGTTTGGGTCAGCAATGGAGACTCAAGTCAGTGACTTAAATTAATAGGCTCTGGGTGCTGCATTGCTTTAAACTGAACTGTTTTTAATAGCTTTCTCATCTTTTCTAATTGCATTTTATGTTCCTGAGTACACATTGGAATTGCTTTAATACTGTGAATTGTTTAATTCCATTCTAATGTTTCTCTTCTGTACATTTTTAGCTGCATTGTTCTTTTTATAAAATGGTAAGCCTTCTCAAGTCCCAATTTTGGGAGAAAAGCAGGATATGAATAAATATAATAATTGTAATTGGGATTAGAAGGGAGAAAAATGAATATTGAAATGAGGAAGATGAATCAGGGGCATAAGGAAGTTAAGAGTTTAGAGAAATAGGAATGTGCAAGTTGGAAAATATGAGAGCGAGGTGAATAGCTTGGGCCAATTACGCTGTTTTTTCGGATTGTGGAAGTCCAAAACACCCGGAGGGCCAAAGTTGGTCCAGGCCTGCTTTGGAGACACCAGCTGCCACTCTTTCCAACCCTGGTTGTCCCAAATATGTAACATTCCTGAGAAGTGACTCCACTCTTGGAACCAAGAGATTTTTGCTTCAGCTCTGATAATTCAGACACCACATTGTGTTCCCTGATGTTGTTACATTATTTCCTTGCAAACATCATCTTAAAAGAGATTAAACAAACAATTATCCAAGACATTGCCCACTTCTACAATGTTCCTTTTGTGCTTCATGGCTCTGGGACTGTTGACCCGGCCTCCTTTCCCACTGGTTTGTACTACTAATCCTTGCACCAATCACATTACAGCTTGAGTTGTAGTCTTACAAGGTCTTTCTCCTTCTCTGACAAAGAGTTCTGATGCCCCACCAGACTACAAATCCCAGGATTCCAGAGCATGGAACCATGGCCATTAAAGTGTGTCCAACTGCATTAATTCTACAATATAGATGCATCACAGAATAGAATCATAGTATTGGAAGAGACCTCATAGGCTATCCAGTCCAACTCCCTGCAATGAAGCAGGAAAATTGAATTCAAAACGCCCCCAACAGATGGCCATCCAGCCTCTGCTTCAAAGCCTCCAAAGAAGGAGCCTCCACCACACTCCGGGGCAGAGAGTTCCACTGCTGAACAGCTCTCACAGTCAGGAAGTTCTTCCTAATGTTCAGGTGGAATCTCCTTTCTTGTAGTTTGAAGCCATTGCTCCACATCCTAGTCTCCAGGGAAGCAGAAAACAAGTTCACTCCCTCCTCCTTATGACTTCCTCTCACGTATTTATACATGGCTATCATGTCTCCTCTCAGCCTTCTCTTCTTCAGGCTAAACATGCCCAGCTCTTTAAGCCGCTCCTCATAGGACACAATGGAACAATGGCTCCAAACTATAAGAGAGGAGATTCCATCTGAACACGAGGAAGAACTTCCTGACTGTGAGAGCCGTTCAGCAGTGGAACTCTCTGCCCCGGAGTGTGGTGGAGGCTCCTTCTTTGGAAGCTTTTAAACAGAGGCTGGATGGCCATCTGTTAGGGGTGATTTGCATGCAGTATTCCTGCTTCTTGGCAGAATGGGGTTGGACTGGATGGCCCAGGAGGTCTCTTCCAACTCTTTGATTCTATGATTCTATGAATCCTTCCCTCCTTCTTGCGGTCTCGTCGCTTCCAAGCACCTTTGAGTTCCTTTGAAGGCCTTTAATCCCCAGATCTGATGTTTCTGCAGATTCTGTGGATAGATTCCCAGGTTGTTTCTTTCTAACTCAGCAGCTCTGTGTTTCCGTAATAACTCTCTTTGGCTTTGCAAAAGAGAAGGGCAGGCGGGGCGTAATTGCACGGAAGCAACAATGGAAATTAGCTGCAGGCCTCTGGCTCCGGAGACAAGGCAAGCCTTGCCCTTTTTTGTGCAGTGGTCAGCTTGTTCTTTCCTGCCCTCTGCACATCCTTCCCGGCTTTGACTCCGGGCCAACCCATGTGCCAGAACAAGGGCACAATTATTCTATCTGATGGCCGCAACCTGTTCCAAGTGGAACGGCACATTTTGAGGATGTCGTTATCAGGGCTTGTGGGCCGCTTCTTCTCCCAATGATTGAACGCTGGCAATTGACTTGCGAGGTTGTCCTTTTGGCTCTTGCGCCCGATAAAAACGTGTCATCTTGATGCGCCATTCCCTGCAGGTTTCTTCCAGCTCTCTGGAGACGGCTTGATAAAAAGATGGCGGAAAGGGTCAATATTTCAATAACTCCTGGGTTGAGTAGCATGTTAACAGATAAGGACCGGTTCAAACCAGCTTGTATATTGCAGCGGTGCCGAGATGGTGTGAATAGACTCCGTTCCATTGAATAGTATTGAACTGGCTGTCAGGGTTTCCCCAGTAACTGATTGATTGATTTCATTAAACCTCCCAGTTTAAATTGCCTGGGCAGCGGGTGAGAAATGATTTAATAACACAAACTGCAAAGTGACAGGAGAACAATGACTGCAAGGCATCCGGCGATGAAGCCTCCGTCAAAGCAGCAGCAGGAATTAGAAAGAAACAAGGCCATGCAAATTCAAACTGATGTTTTTCTCTTTTATGTATTTGTTTATTTTATTTCAGTGGTACTCAACCTGCCGAATGCTGCAACCCCATAATACGGTTGCTCATGTTGTCGTGACCCCCAACCATAAAATTATTTTTGTTGCTCCTTCCATAACAGTAATTTTGCTATTGTTTTGAATCATAATGTAATGCAGGATGCATTTTCATTCACTGGACCAAGTTTGGCACCAGGGCCGTAGCCAGAAAAAAATTTCGGGAGGGGTTGAAATTTTCGGGGGGGGGGGGGGTTGAAAATTTCGCGGGAAGGTTGAAACCTGCCTCCTAGCTCACGCTGAAGCAAAAAGCACAGCAGAGGGCAGAGCAGCCTTCAATAGCCTGCAGCTCCGCCCTTGTCAACCACCTCCACCAAGTCTGGCCTCCTTAATGAAGGCATTCAACATCCCCCCTCCCCAACTTGGTTGCATCACTACTGTTCTGTTGCACGCTGGGCCTGTAGATAATTGTCTTTAGAACAGGATGT